AATTTTTAATTTGGTGTGGATGATCATAATGAACAACTTTGGTGAAGGATGGAAGTGGTTTTGGGCTCAATTGAAGGGTCAATTTGAGGGAATCTTGAATTTTAATCAATTTGGTCATGTTGGGCTAGGCTTGGCTCTATGTTGAGCTAGCCTTGGGCTAACTCCAAATTGATTGTTGTAAATGGTCAATAGGGACCCTGAAGAGTTTTCTACATGAATTGGATGCCAATTTTGGGGTTAAGGCAATCAATTGGGTGAAATTTGGGGACTTAGCCAATTTGGGGCTAAATTTGGGAATTTTGGATTTAGGTGAAAATCAAATGGATTTGAGGCTTCATCAAGGCCAATTGATGGTTGATTTTGATGTGTAGGAATGTTATAAAGATTTTGCAACATTACTTTGGGCCAATTGACTAGGTTATGGGTTTAATTTGGTGAGATTAGGTCATGTGATCAAAATTGGGGGTTTGACCTATACCAAAATTTGACTCAAATCATGGGCCAATTAAGCTTGTATTTGGTCTAGTTTGGCCATATCAAAAGTGAATTTGAGTTTAGGATTGAAATTTGGGGAGATTGGGGTCAAATTAATGGACATTTGGAGTGATTTGGGGAAATTTGAGCCTTTAAAGGTAAATTTGGGGGTTTTGATCAAAGATGGTCAAATTGGCCAAATTTGGTCATGTGATAGTTGAGGAAAATAAAATTGGGAATATTTGGTAGGTTTTGGGAATTTTTGGAATTCTTGAAATTTTGGGGTAAGGAGGGGTATTTTGGTAATTTGGCCAATTTGGGGATTTTGGGTAATTTGGGTGTTTTCAAGGTGTTTTAAATGATTTTTGAACCAAGTTTGGGTATTTTGGCTAGATTTGGAGATTTTTGGCCAAATTTGAGGTCCCAAGGGTATCTAGGTAATTTGAGGGAATTTAGGGGCAATAGGGTGGGTTAGGTGCCTTGATAGAGTTGGAGTACCAACCAGCATTAATAAGCCATGGACCAATGGAAACCTCATTTTGGGTCCTCTATGTAGTGGTCTTAGCTAAACCCTAGCCTAGGGCTAATGGGTTTAGGGAACCACCTACAGGAGTCTCCCAAAAAGTATCAAGGGACCTAGGTTTGGGCTTAAGGTAGTGAGTGGAAGTGTAATGTGCAAGTGTGTGTGTGAGGTTGACCAAGTCCACACCACCAGGGGGTTGACCCTAAGGCCAAGCAATCTTATGGAAACTCACCTTGAGATCCCCCATATTGAGCCCACCTACTAAGTGCTAGAGGTTATGACCAATATGTGGAACTTCAAGTTAAGCAAAGAATAATTTATATTTTTTTATGGTTCCTTTCTAGTCCTCTAAGAATAGTCAACAGAAAGTACTATGGCTAGATCTTAAGCCTACTAAAGAGGAAAAACTGGACCTCAACCAAAAGTGAGGTCAACATGATTGTGTTAATTGTGATGTCTAGTGTATTTTGTTAGTTAGTGTTGAACTACATAGAAGAGATTCAAAGGAACTTCAAGAGTTTGGTGGAGGATTTGAGATAAATTTTTATTTTTTGTTTTGAACTACTTTTGGTTTTAATCGAGACTTCTTGTTGGTTTGACAATAATTTCTACTTTTAAAATAAAGTGTGGTTTTGTTTTTTCCATTGATTATGAGTAGTTTTCTTTATCTTTCTCCTTAAAAGGATAAATTGGTCTATCCAGATGTTAAAATTTGTTATGAGAACATGTAAGCACAGGGCTGGTATTGTCTCAGTCAACATTTGGAAGAATCACATGAGATTGTATGAATGAGAATGTAATTCATATGACTTTGTGCAAATAAATAGAGAAATAAACTATGAAGGGTGTAGAGTTAGAGGAATTTAATAAAGTGACAGGTTAAATCCCCCAACTTGATTTATTGTTTTAGGTTCTAATACGAGATGTTAGGCCCCAAGTACAGGGAATCGAGGGAACTCTGGAGTGAGAGTTGATATCTTTCCTCCCTAACCGGTCTTCAGAACTATTCAAACTTTAAATTAGCCAATATTCTTTATAGCATCTCTCGTAAAGGTAAAGAATATAATTGCTCATATTTGACACAACACAATTTGCATACTATCACAACAGAATTCTTATGCTTATTACTGATTCATGAGAGGAGAAAGATATTTTCAAATTCAGTGCTTTTCTTTTACATAAACTCAAGTTATCTTTTTAAATTTTTACTGTTTTGTCAAAATATCAAAAATACCAAAAAGATTTGAATTTTAATTACTGTGAATACATCTCTAGTTTAAGTAATTGTCTTTTTAAAATAGAAAATTTATCGTTCAATAGAGCATATTGCGTATTTCCCTGTGGGTTCGATATTCAGATCTTAATAAAAAAGTCTCATATTACTTGATAACGATACGTATACTTGCGTAGTATCCCAATATATAAATTAAAGAGTTAAATTCCTATTTGCTTCAGGATCAAGTTTTGACTTTGTTGCAAAGTAAGGAAATATAAGTGAAAATATAATCAGAGAAATTGTTATACTATTGCATATAAGTAGTAAGTCAGGATCACCATGTCATGGGGAGAAAATGTTGAAAAATTGCCTAGCAGTTATTGGCGCCTAGGCGCCAGCCTCTCTGTCTGCTTGGCTATGTACCGATGCCTAGTAGCCTGTGTACGTGGTGCCAAGATGCTTGGTAGGTGACCAATGGCTAGCGCCTAGGCACCAATCTCTTGGATCTCCAATTGCTCCATATCAGCTCTACTTTACTCTATTTCTTCTCCACTTCGTTCCACTTCTACTGTTGTTATATCTGCAAGAAAAAACATAATAATACCCTTCTTTAAAGTACAACTTCATTCATAAAAAAGTACAAATAATAAATGAAATTAAGCATGCTATTCTACAAATCACTTAACACTTGATAACTAGCTTTAATTATTCTCATTATTAAAATGGGTAATTATCTCATAAGAACTCGCACCTAAAAAAACTAGAAATTACATCTTAAAGTCCTCATAAAATAAAGGAAAATATTATTAGTATATTAGCAAAAAAGTTACATTTCCTTTAGAAAATTTGACCCATAACAAGCACAACTCTCTGATAATAGCTAAGTAGGATTTTTTTGAGCCCAAACATATACCTAAGCAAAATCAAACAAAAAGAATTGGATGTTTAAAAAATAATTTGCTCAATCTCAGAATATATTAAGCTCGTCTTGCACAATTTGTATTTCTTCAAGTTATGCACAAAAAGAAGACTAATCATTGCCTCTTCCATAAAAACACAAAACAAAAAACAAATAACATAAAGGGCTATGCAACATAAACATTTTTGCCCATTTGATAATGTACTTACATTTCAAAAACATCTATTCGCTTTGAAAATGATAAAATTCTGGTTTAAATAATTTTTTCAATGATATGCATGTAATTTTTACAAGAGCAATAAGTGAGAATTCGTTAACCAAGCACAAAAGAAAAGACTCAACATTCACCTACTAGAAGAGTTAGAGGGAGAAATAACATGCAGGAATATGAATGCTTCGGTGAAGAAAGAGGAGAGCTAGAGTTGGCTTAAATGATCAGAGAGAGAGAGAGAGAGAGAGAGGAGAAGGGGATCGAGCCATTTGCCATTGTAGCGCATAGATGAAGGAAATAAATAAATTATAAGAGGAAAAGAATTATCTTGAGAGGAACGTGAGATGCATGAAGCCTTTCTCACGGAAGAGGGCGATGCAAATGAGAACAACATCTCGTTGTGGGTTTTTCATGGAGACGGAGAGGGCGGCACGAATAAGAGTAGTAGATTGCCACAAGTTCTCTCATAGAGGTGGAGAGGGCTACACGAATGAGTGCAGCGACTCATTGCGGGCTTTTTCATAGAGAAGGTGAAGCTCTCAGCTAGGGCACACTGGATTCTTTCTCGCGGACCAGGAAAGTGTGGTCTTTCCTTAGGAAATTTAGAAACAAGAAAGTAGGATGCAGGCCTTTAATCTCGATCACGATTTTAATAAAAGCTGTGATGTAGTTTGAATCGCTATACCAAAAAATGAGATTCAAATACTAGAATTTCACGGATCCGTTCAGAACTTAGTTTGGAAATCCGAAACAAACACACCCAAATACTTCTACCTATAAGATTGATACAAGCTATTGAGGCATGCAATCATCTATCAGACCAATGCATAAGGATAACACATAAAATCACTTATAAGCTGATGCAAGCCATCAACACTAATCTCAACATTCATAAACTTTATCTTCTTTTAAGGACAATAATATTGACATACATTATCATTGAAAGAGCTGATGCATAACATCAACATCAAAATCAAACTGAACAACTTAGTCTCCTATTCCTCCCGTTCGAAGTGAACAATCCAACATGCTACCACCGTTTAATCTCTTGAAATGACTACAATATCCTCTAACTTCTATCATTAAATATGCTATGCACAAATTATGTCGAATGAATATTATAACTTATTTCAGAGTATCATTTGACATTTCTAACATATACTACTAAAATCATATTTGAAAATTTCACATAAAACTTCATCAAAAATTTCTTTTTTCTATAAGTGCATAGAGTTAAATCTTTTTCAATTACATCATTTTCTTACATTGAGTTTAATTTATGCTATGTTTAAAATATTCCTATATTTAAATTCTTTCAATTAAATAATGTTGAAGGAAATTATAGATTCCCCTAATCTAAAAAAAAAAATTATCTTGGAGGACCATACGTATTCTTTAAAAATAAGAACAAACGTAAGATACAATATTGTTTTCGTCATTTGAAATGAAAACAAAAATTGTCCTTTTATTTCCATCCAATGGCTAAACAGTCTATAAAAACTACATGAGATTCATCCAACGGACGGCTGCGTCCGGCAGCAAAGCTTCACGAAGCGGGATTTCCAAAAACACAAAACTCTGCTCTCGCGCTCTTCCTGTTTCTCTTTCTAGGGTTTCCGTTTCAAATTCCTTCGTTTTCTGAACTTGGATCTCGCATGCTGAACTTCGTAATCTAGGACCTGTTCTAGGTTTTTCTGATGGTTGCTCGTCTCTAGCTCTAGCAATGGCTTTGTTGCCACTTGCCGCAGAAGATGAGCGATAGGGAAGAGTTTCCTGAGGCCGGAGGCGAGTCTTCCGGGCGGTTTGACTTTCTGCAACGGAGGCGTGATCTCCAGTCCAATTGGGAGGTAGACCTAGCCAAGAACTTGGAGGATTACCTCCTCAAGATTTGTTCCGGCGAGGTCACTTCTGAGCCGTCGGTTAACTTTGCTGAAGGTTCGGGTTCCTAGCCCTAGCTTTGTTTTCTTGCTTCAAGTTGGTTACTTTCTGTATTGCTGATTTGGTGATTGGAGCTTTTTCTCTTTTTGATTGGCCGGAAATGTGGTTTTAGCTGCCTTGTTTCTTCAAGGTTCAGTTCAGGTGTACAGCCGGAAGGTGGAATATTTGTATTCGCTGGTCCTGCAAGTTTTGGAGCTCCTTTCACAGAAGAGGTATGTAATTCTGGCTTATTTTGCTTAAATGTTATTGCGATGCTTGAGTAGATCCTTTTGTTTTGGTAAAAAGACGTTTTTTTTACTCATACGAAGGTCGTACGTCCATAGTATCATGTTAGCTAAAATTGTAAGAAGAAATTGGGTATCTAGTTTTGCTGCATTTCAAAAACGTGAGAACTGGGCATAAGTTTACGTCTGAGCCACATATTCCTGGTTGTTCCCAAGCACCCAATGCAGGAGACTTTTTTGAATTTCTTGTTATAATTATCTTATATTCTCACGTGTTTTTTAAAAGATAATGGTTGTTGTGGGTCGAAAGAGATGAGGAAAATTGAATCACCAAATGTTGGGAAATAAAGAAAAAAAAATATAATTTGGCAACTTTCTGATCAGAATGTTCTGAAGGGTTGCGTATGTATTTATATGGAAGATGGGGCATGGTTGTTTGATCTTTTGAGTAAACTGAAGTGGTGTTTCAGTACTAAAATTGTTACGAAAATGCTTCCTATGCTAGGTGTTAACTAGGAGGACTAAAGCAAGTTCGGCCTGAATTGTGCTGGATTGCCTCAGTCTACTTGGGCAGTTGCACTGTTCTTTTCTTTTCTATTTTGAACTTGAGTTTGTACTTGAGCCTTCTAGTAGTTTTTGGGGAGTGATATATGAAGAATAAAGTAGACTGTGGAGTTTGTCTCTGAGCATGCTAGCATTAGAGGGATAGTTTGAGCAGTATTTGTTTGTTATAATGTGGCGGAAAATAGGCTTTATGCGGTTTGGATATTTAGAATTAATGTAGGAAATGCATCATACAATGGCTTGGCAAAATTAGCATCAAGGATTCGATACGAAAAGGGGTAGCGCTAAGGTGACATGGCTAGACGTTATGCGAAAATATTTATGTAGAACATGTTTGACAACCCATTTAGCATTTAAAATGAATGAATGGAAATAGATAATTCATAAATCCCACCCCGCATGGTTATGAGATGTTAGCGTTGCTACTAATGATGATATATGTTTGAGCTAGAATTTAATATACTATGCAAGTTTCTCCCAATTGCATGAGCAACTTTCATATTTAGAAACTTGAGCCCTCACTCACTTTGTATACATACATAATCGGATTATTTTGAGCCATGGTTATGGGGTTATAAACATGTCGAGTTGAACTTGAGCAACCGTCGGCTTGAGCTTGAGATTGATTAATTAATCGAGTTCAAGTTATAGCTTGAGCTTAATTTTATAAGTTTGAACCAACTCATGAATCAGACTGTTTATTATGAAAGAGAGAATAATATTAATTCAAGCTAATGTTATAATAAGAAGACAAATATTTAGGAAATAATTAATAAGAAATGACTTGGTGTATACATTATTTTCTTAGTCATTTTTAATAATTTAATGATAGTCTTGAATTTTAATATATTTTAAGTATATTTTATATTTTTATTTTTTAAACATGCTGGCTCACGAGCTAACAAGTCAACTCAGGGCTGGCTTGTTTTTGGCTTGTTAGTTTATCAAGCTCAGTTCACGAGCCACTTATCGAGTTGAACTCGAGCCGGGTCATTAGTCGGCTTGGCTTAGTTTCACCTCTACATGGTTTTAGTTATTAGTAAAAATAGACATGTTTGAGAAGTTTTGGATAAGTTTCAGCTAGTTGTGATATATAATCACCTTGGATTTTAGAGTCCTGCTGATTTTTTTCCACGCTATCTTATTTCTATCATTTTTTGGCCAAGTGGTGGACAAAATATCTCTAAAAATACAACTTATACTACTTACATTCACATTAATTTTGTTTTGCATTAACTCTTGGTAATGCACATGCATTGTCATCACATGCATAGTGGGAGAAAACTTTCATATGTGATATGGTAGAGTTTTAATCATAAGCAAGGGAAGCTTAGCGAAACCCGTTTCTCACTATACACTCATTATCTTTAATTAGTTTTTTTTTTCTTGTATTTGCATAATTGTTTATCCTAGAGGGAAAAAATATAGTTCGTTTAATCTTTAGGGGATTCTTATATGTTTATACTTAATTTTATCACAACATTTTATTTTATATTTACCTAGAATACTTTTTCCTTAATTATGATCGAATTTAATTAATTAAATTATAAATATTTTCCTAATAGTTATTTTTTGTTGAGGTTTTCAATAGTTGGCAAGTATTATGACTCTTAAAATTGATCATTTAAGCTTTTTTAGATTATATTTAAAATTGTAACTGAAATCACATTATAATGTGAAATCTGAAATTACCAAAAACATTAATGTTATTAGAAGAAATACTCTATAGAATGATATGAAGTTGATATTGATAGCCTCATTTTCCACCTACAAGGAATTGATCATTCTGATTTGAATGGCGACCTTGTTTATGTGATTCTTTCTTTATAATTTCTAGGTGGAATTTGTTAGTCTTAGTTATTTGTTGGCGGCATATTTTTGCCTGTTGCTAAGCAAGGCTTTACATGCATTATAGTTGGGATATGAGTATCTGTGTTTGTGGTTTCTATTCATAGACAGGGATTTGTGGCATTTAGGTTATTGATTGGTTGTAACTTATCCTTTACCAAATAAATTCTTAGAATATACGAGCTATAGCTTAAATTTTCTATTATTATCATATTAAATCATATATTTTTTTTCCATTTTTACGAAACTTTTAAATTTTATATTTGTTAGAAAAGTTATTTTCACCTAGAGAATGTTGTTTTCTTGTTTATCCGCGATATTTAGCTTTTTTTAAGAAGAAATACAGAATGACCCAAAAAAGCCCGCGATGCAGAAGATGAAGGGAAGTAGGTGGATATTTTAACAATTATATATCTGTTAGTTAGTGTTTTATTTTTTAATAAATAAGAAATATTTTAAGATTAGTTTGTTTTGTTCGTCTTGTTATGCTTGGTTTAATGTAAATGAATGGTTTAGGTGTTTCGTGGTCAAAATCTAGTTGTTCTATGGCAAGGTATTAATGAGGTTGCTACTTTAACCTGACATTACCTAAATGTCCCTTGGGCTAGTTTAGTATGAGTATTAAAATGCATTATCTTGTTTTGTTTAAGCTTAATTTGGGCCTAACTCAAAATTTTTTTGGCTAGTTTGACCGTACTGTCATCATCTTCATTTGCCTTATATCAATGATGTGATGATAGCATCATATCACAAAATAAGCTAAAACTATGCTTGAGCTAATGTATAACACATTTTAAATTTTTTGTGGAATTGCTGCTTTGATTATAGAACTGTATCAAAAAGTTATTATTAGAAGATTTAGAATGTTGGTTTAGAATATCATGCAATATTTTGTTTAGTTGTCGGGCAAGTATGCTATGGAAGATATACATTTATCGAGTTGTTTGATGGACAAGTACAGAGGGAGTAAGGTGGATCTACATATGATTTTTGTTGATTTGAAAAAAAAAATTATGGTAAGGTTCCTATAGAAGAACTTTGGAGAGTTTGAGAGAGGAAATGTGTTGATATAGTTTATATTCATGTCATTAAAGATATGTATACTAGAGCTATTACTTGTGTTTGAACACAATGATGATTGACCAAATATTTTTCTATTTCAATTGAATTATGGTAGGGACCGGCTTTTAAGCCCATTATTTTTTACTTTAGTTATGGTTGTCTTACTAGACATTTACAGGAGGATGTGCCTTGGTGTATGTTTTTTTGTTATTAATATTTTTCTTGTAGATAAGACTAGAAAAAGTTCATGAAAAACTTGAATTATGAGGGTCAATTTTAGAGCTTAAAGGTTTTGTTTGGGTAGATCTAAAATTGATTACTTGGAATGTAATTTTATTTGTAGCAGATCTAAAATTGAATACTTTGAATGTAATTTTAATAGTAGCACGTCTAGTGGCGGGGTTGTAACTATGGTTGATTAAGTTATTAAAAGGAGTGAACATTTTGGATATTTCGGGTTTAATGTTCAAAGGGACAGTGATATAGATGAGGATGTTATAAGTACTATTCAAGTTGGATGGCTGAACTGGACGAATGCATCGGGCCTATTATGTGATAGAAAAGTATCTCTTAGACTTGGAAGGAAATTTTTATAAGATGGTTGTGAGACCTGCAATGCTTTCTGACTTAGAATGTTGGCTTGTAAAATAGAAGCATAAAATTAAGTTAAGTGTCGCCGAGATGAGAATACTCAACTGGATGAGTGGCTTTGCACTTAGCAACAACATGTGAAACAAATATTTCCATGGAAGGGTTGGAGTAGCTTCAGTGGCAGACAAGATTGGAGAGTTACCCTAGATGCTTTGTCGTTGGAGTAGCTTCAGTGGCAGACAAGATTAGAGAGTTACCCTAGATGCTTTGTTCACATTAAACGTCGACCATCTAATGACCTAGTAAGGAGAATAGATGTTTTAGATTTGACTTTAAGAAAGGTATAGGTAGACCTAAAAAGACTTGGGCTTGTTGTATAAAAATGATCTTAATTCATTTGAAATAAATGAAAAATTGACACTTAATAGAACACAATGAAGAAAAATGATTCATCTTGCCTACCCCACTTAATACAATAAAGGCTTGTTGTTGTTGTTGTATTATGTTTAGTTGTTTGATTAAGAAGTTTCTACTTATGATATGTAGTTTTTTTAATAATTTAGATATTAGTATTAATAAACTTGTTAATTCTAATTTTATCTTTGTAATTTACAAGTACTTGTGTTAACTTATCAATATTTGCTATAATTTGTTTGGTTCATCTGTTAATTTATATTGTTATTGAAATTTTGTTTTATATATATATATATATATATAATTCTAATTTTTTCTTTAACCATTTGCTTCCTTCATCCATCTTTCTTGAATAAGATAACTTTACTTTCCAAAAAGCTTAGTTGGATTGGTAACCAATTTTTTGTTGTGGAACGTGTTTGTTCCTAGTTATTTTTATAATTAATTGTCACCATCTTGGTGTCGTGTGGTAGAGAAATTACAACAGTGCATAGTACTACTTGACCAATGCAATCCCAAGACTTGTTCAAAAGTTCTATTTTGATGCTTATTAGCTATCATATTAAAGTTTTAAATTTTTTTTGGAAATGTCCATTGGAAAGCATATTTTGTGATCTTTTACATGTTTTCAAAATTAAGTATATTTACTCTTCAAAAAGCATATTTTGTGATCTTTTACATGTTTTCAAAATGAAGTATATTTACTCTTCAAAAAAAAAAGTTTTCAAAATTAAGTATATTTCCTCTTAAAAAAAAAAGGATCTTTTTTACATTTTACCATATGGTGGTTGATATGCCATAGATCAAAGACAACTAGTCTTCGTTGAGATGTTAATCAATTCATTTTCTCATTATTCATCATTTATGATTCTCTTCATTCCATTAGTTTAAAAAACAATCACCAGTTTTAGTGTAGCACTTACATTTTTATACAACTTTTTTTGTGGTCATTCTTTTCATCATCTTCTTATGAACTTGCTCATAAATTTAAATAACTCAATGTAGATGGGTACTCCAAGAAGATTTGGGCTATTCTCAAATATTAGCAATGGTTTAGTAAAGGACTTCCTCTTGGACCATGTGATTAGCTTTATTGTAATATCGCAACGATATTGCTATTTTAAATAACCCCATGCATTACCAAAGGCTTATTTTATGCTTTGTGAAATGTAAGTCACACTCAATATAATTTTATGTTCTCGATGAGCTTTATGCTGACTTTAAAATTGGCCCTTCTAAAAAGCTTTCACCTTTAGTTTATGAGGTTCTTATAGATGTCATTACCCATGGTTGCTGAAAATAATTCTTTAATCAAATTGATTCATAACTATGTATGTTGATTAAGCTCAAAATCTACGACGAATCATGACAATATAATAGCTAGATTTTGATTCAATTATTATTTTCCTGCAATTTACTCTAAGCCAATAATGGTATATTATTTTATATCAATCTAAGTTGTTACTTTTGAAAATAAACCAGCTTGGATCCTATTTGTTAGCCTTGATTGAGAAGGGCTCTTTTATGACTTAGAGGGGTAATAAATAATAGACACCTTATGAAAAATTTTGAATCATATGATAAAATTTTCATTAGGAGTTGAAACTTTTGGTAACATTTTTTAATATGTAATTCATATTAAAAAAAATCAACCTAAAATCATTGAATGTATGGCATGAGAATTTTGCTGAACGCATATCAGTAAATATAACTTTCTATTTTTCCATATACTTGAGTGCAATTGTGAAATTGTAGAGTTGGCATTAGGGTTCTAGCTGAGCTAAGATGACTCGTGAGCCAGATCTGGCTCAACTTGATAAAAGAAAAAATAAGTCAAGTCCTAACCTGACTTGTTAGCTTGTGAACTGACTCATTAAAAAAATAAATAAAAAATGCACTTACATGTATTTAAATTTAAGAGGTTAGTCTAAAATGATTAAAATATTTTTTTTGTTTTTTTATATCAAGCAATATCTTATTATTTCTCTCATAATTACTCGTTGGTAGTCAATTTATGACAACTATTGCTTCAATTAAACTTGTTTTTTTTTTCATTCACAGTAAACAAGCCAACTTGCCAGCCGAATCAAACTCTTAGTGTTTAGCTTCGTTCAACCTATTTACACCCTTAGCTGAAATGAAATTTCACGTGGAATACTGTTAATGCTTTTAAAATCTGCTGATAATACTTTTTGATATTTAATTTAGGATATTCGATGGGACTCGACAATTTTTACTGATCTTTCAATGCCACAACTGATGGCACCTAGTTTTCTTGTGATTATCATGATAAATCGATGCGATCAAGTGCCTAAAATTTGCTAATATGATTATGATGAATTGAATGTATCAAACAATGGTCATGAAGAATAATCTTTTTGATATTTTACAGCAGGAAAGATCAAGAAAAAGATTGCCCCAAACCTGTTGATGATGCACCGTCTGCATCTATTCATGAAGAAGATGATGCATTTCTGGGTTTAAACGATGTGCCTGGTAAAAAACTTCATTTCCCTAGTTTTCTTCCATTGAAAGTTCGCAAATTTACCCTGTGCCCAACCTTTTTGCATTGGCAGTGGATGCAAAGAATTGTCGTGATGATGAAAAGATCGAGATTTCTAACAATTTCATTAAGGCTCCTACAAATTTACTTGTTCTTGAAGGGGATTGTTTTGACACAAGTGGTGAAACTAATGAACTAGATTCCTACCTGGTATTTTTGTTAATTCCAATTTATCATTGTTAATATATTGGGGCATTTACATACATACCACAACTATTCACATATCTAACGCTTAAACATTCATGTGTACATGCACGCCACTCAATTCTTCAGCATCACATCAAAAATACCACCATCGCTATCTTTTTAAAAGTGAAATACACCCTTTCATATAAATATCAAAGTTTGGGTGTTAGATATGTAAATACATAAAAATTATGTGTTATATATTTAAATTTCCTATATTTGTAGACTATCATCGGTTAACAATCTCAGCGAGTTTTTTTGTTTCATTGTTCCAGTTGGCTACTAGTGATTTTTATGGAGATTTTCTTCTTTTGGACCCTTGCGATGCAGAAGGCATCAATAATTTTTTGCAGAAAAATCCTTTTGACAAAGAGAATGCCGCAACTTACAAGAGCCCCTCAAGCCAGCCTGAAACCAATGAAAACGTCTCCCCAGCTCCAGTTGGAAGATCTGGGGGATCCATTAAAGCGAGCCTCAGGAAGAACCCGATGTTCAATGTAATTGAAACACAAGAGGATGGCCACACCTTTGAAACGGATAGCGTGAATGAATTTTCCGAACCACGTTCCTATCAAACTCACCCAAAGAATCCATACAATGCGGAAAAAGCACATTTTCGAAATGCAGATGCTCAGGATGATCCTGATGAGGATGAGGATCCATGGAAGCCTTTAAATCCTCATGAACCTGGGAACTTGAAAGTAAAACCATTTAAAAAAGGTTTCAAAATGGCTTATTTGTATATTTCAATTCCAAACCTTTATAAAACTAGGATTTATATTTTAAATTTGTGCTTACTTTTTGAATAGGTAGAAATTTAAGAAAGCAGATAAATCCTGTTACTAAGAAAAAAAATCAGTGTTCTCAATTCCCCCTGGCGAAGATGAATGGTATCATCAGTCCAGAGCTCGGTGAATCCATTGAAGTGAAAATCCGCCTAAGGAAAACACAGAATGTTTCTCAGTCTCCTGCTCTATATGAAAAGGCACATCTTTCAAAATCTTTTTTTTTTCTTAATGATATTCTACTTGTTTCTAACTTTATTTATTTCTATCATGCTCGTTTATATAACCAGTTTCTTTTTGCAGCTAAGAGGTTCTCTTTCCTTTGGAGGCCATGGATCTTATGATTTCTTTGATGGTCTTGGAGCAGAAGACCAGGAGGCTGGAACTGAGAATGACCTAGCTGATTTTGATCAAGATGACTATGATATGGGCATGGAACCACCAAGTTATGGTGAGAAGGTTAGAGCTCTACGCTCTTTTTGATATCATAAATCGTTCACGTTAGTTGGTTCTAATGTTCCAGTGCGCTGAACACAGGAAAGAGATGATGCGGAGAAAAATGGAGTTGGGTTTTTTTCCCTGGATGATCTCGATTGCAGTCAAAATCTTGAAGATCTTTGCAGATCACATTTGGTAAAAGCAACCATCTGAGATTGTTAGGGAAAACTAAAATATTATATTCTATTTTTAATTATATGCTTGGAGGCGTCTCTAAAACTGAATCCTAGTTGATTCTTGTACCTCCTCATGGTGGGAGATCTCATAAACTAGTCCATTATTTTAAATGAAAGCTCAGTTTAAATGATAACAAAGCCGATGCTCATGCGCATGCATGCGTGTGTGCTCACTTACTCATTGTTTAGACTTCTCTCGACATAACCAAGTGCCAATTCTGCAAACAGGACGGCCTTCTTGCTATGATAGCTGAAACTGAGAAACAGACAGAGCTTACAGCACGTGTTTCGACATGGAAGCAGCGAATAGAGCAAACTCTAAGAGAGCAAGTGAGTTGGGTTACCTTAGCTCTCTTTGGACCGCCTACAATAT